GTGCTGGCCAGCCTTTCGTCTCAGCCACCAGACCCAATGTTGCCGGACCCCCCAAACCTTTTTTTTTTTTTTTTTTTTTTTTTTTTTTTTTTTAAATTAAGCTTAGGGACCTAACCTATCCACTGCATAGCTTAATTAGTTTAACCCGGAGTATTTAACCAGGTAACAGAAGGTCCCGGTAAATAAGTGTTCAGAAAGGTGCTGTGTCTGCTCACGGGCCTGTTTACAAACCCTCCGTTAAAAGTCGGGGGGGGGGGGGGTGTGTGTTTCAGGTCCGTGAAGCGTTGTCGGAGACACGAATGGCATCTTCGTGTGGAAAGTGCCGGCTCTCAGCCCCGGTGGCCCACATCAGGGAATCAGAGCCAAGGCCGGGGTGTGGTGGTGGTGGTGGTGGGGGGGGGGTGGGCCTCCCGGGGAGGGGGAGGGGCGCGAGAGAACAGAGGAGACGGCACGCTTCCTTCCTCTTTCTTGACCTAAGTGTTGAAACAGGCCGACTTGGCTGTTGTCACCTTCCTTTCTGTGCCCCTCCTCCGTGCCCCGAGATGTGCCCTGCCCCCTGCCCCCTGCTTCCCTACTGCTCCCCCCACTCCCCGTGAGTCCTCAGCCAGGTGTGACCCCTGTGACCTCACCCCCTAGCCCCTCTCCCCGCCCCATCCAGTGCCAGGTGATGCCATCTCGGCCGGTGCTGGGCAGAGGGCGCTGTCCCAGCTCACACGTAGCCCCGACGCCCCCTAATCACTAGTGTATGCTGCTGGGTTCTTTCATCTGCCCGCCTGGCCGCTGTCTTTCTAAACAACCGAGGCCTGTAAAGTACCTTCTCAGGCGATTAACAGTGAAGAAATGCAGCACTTATGAAAGATTCTCCCCGGGGGCGGGCGGGGTAATGTAACCCTCTCCTTCCTGAACCCCTGGAGGAGATGGGCCAGGGGTGTGTGTTCGTGGGCCCAGACGGCCGGGCCCCGGGCGGGGTTGTCGAGTTGGGCGGGAGGAAGGTGACTCTGCTCAGACCAGGCCCAGCTGGTCTGGCCGGTGACACGAGGCTGGGGGTGGGGGTACTGGGGTGACCGGGGGAACCTGCCGGTCCTGAGAGCTGGAGGCACCCTGCAGCCGGGTGAGCTCTGAGGAAGGGGGGCCGACAGCTCCCGGACTGTGTGTGGTTTCCAATGAGGAACGGGGCTTCCTGGGCGGGGGCGGGTGGGGGTGGGGAGTCAGGACAGTGGTGGGGGTCCGCCCGGCTGGCCGTGGGGTGACACAGATGCTGGGGATGCATTTGGGACTTTAGCTGTAAGACGAAGGCTGAATGAAAGAACCCCAAATTTGCTATTCGCCACGGATTTGGAAATAGTTCTCTCCTTGTTGGTGGGTTGTAGGAATGTTAATTGTACATCCGTGATTTTCCCAGAGGGTTGGTTTCTTAGGGTTTGTTTTTCATGTAGATAATGTGATAGAAATTAAGTACACTTTAAAGCCTTTGTAAGACCATGCGAATTTCTCTGTTTATTTAAAGTAAGCTCTTTATTTAAAGTAAGTCATCCTTTGTGGCCGTGTCTTGTTGTATAACAAGTGATCCGGTCACTTGGGCGTAAAAGTGTTGTGCAAAGCGCAAGCCGCGTGGTGCCTTCGTGTCCTGCTGCATCCTGCTGCTGTGGGTCCCTGGTGGGCACCACAGTGGCACGGTGGCGAGGTCATCCTGGGTAAAGTGACTCCAGCTGATACACGCGCAGCGGAAAGAACAGCCTCTGGGGGTCCCAGCTCTGCCTGCGTTTCCGTCCTTGGGAAAACCGGTTAACACCTGCACACTTTAGGGTCGGACTCCTCCCCTCCGGAGGCCTTCCCGGTCCTAAGATCTTGACCAGCTAAGCGTTTGGGGAGGTTCTGAATGAGTGTTCAGTCTGCGAAAGAAAGAGCCACGTAAGCGTGGCCACGGTGACGCCGGTGTTTCCTTTCCGACTTTTCAGACTGCTGTTCGAAGATGCCGAGTCGGAAGTTCGCCGACGGGGAGGTGGTACGGGGTCGCTGGCCCGGGAGCTCGCTTTACTACGAAGTTGAAGTTCTGAGCCATGACAGCGGCTCCCAGCTCTACACCGTGAAGTACAAGGACGGGACGGAACTCGAGCTGAAGGAGGGTGACATCAAGGTGCGAGCCCCTCGGCTCCCCCAGGGGCGGTCACGCGGTGCGGGAAGGGCTGTGATGTGGCTGAGCTCGGGGCGGTCCCACCTGGCCCCCAGCAGGGC